GTGGTGGAAACTGACTAGAACAGTAGTGGTCACAGATCTGAAGTAGGCTACTTTGCTTGGCCACAACGGGAGCTTCATAGAGTCGTTAATTTACAGCCCTCTTAAATCTAAGAGATTTGTAAAATTATACCTAACTAGATAACCTGTTGCTCAAAATCGAGCAAAACTGAAACTTGTATAAACAAATAAACAAAAAACATAAACAGCCAGACCTTAATCAAAGAGTCGCTCTAAATAATTTATATGACTGATTATAGAAATATAAAAATATTATGATGTAAAAAATATAGAACCTTTCATTTATGGCAACAAAGAGTAAAAACTTAACTGTCTCGGCCAGTCTTTTCTTGCTTAAAAATATGTAAACCACTACAATGTAAACATTTAACGTTCATTTGTCCGAGATTGGACTATCACAACGGTGGTACTATCACTATGTACCCATCAAATGTTCAATTGAGAGGTTGATGCAAGCGGTCATGTTGTACTGGCGGCATTTGATTTTAAATTGAAATGAAATAAGAAAGTTAACCAAACAACAGAAAACACTATAAAGGAATTGGAACTTTGATATACATTGTAAATTACATGATAATATGGTAATGCAACAGATAACTGCCCTGAGAATAATCACTTTTAAACATTCACTTCATCGCATCGAACTGTAACTACATGATAATCGGTAAAGTACGATGTAAGGTAAATCAAATTAACCATAGTCAAAAAGAATGAAATATTTATTCTTTTTGTCTATGATTTAACTATTACAAACACTTTGTTGTCTAGTATTGCTAGGAAACTCTTTATTATGAACCAGACTTAGTTAACAGATTGAAACAAAACATAAATAATTCTAGCTTTGCTCTGGAAGTTTTAAGTCCTGCAGTCTGTGGTTAACCTAAAAAACTATTTCAAACTACGTCCATATGTTATTTATAAACAAAAGGAAATGAGTTTGATCTAATGTCAACAGATAGCGCCACCTTCCAAACTTTAGCCCTTAAGTGTACTTAAGTGGTACCCTTTCTTAATATTCTGAGACGTATTTGCACATATAAGTGAAAATACCTTTAATTTGACACCTCAAACGTTAAAATCCGTCAAACCGTTATCGAGTTATGACTGTGAAAAGAAACCTGCTTGCGTATTAATATATAGACTAGGGTGGTCTGCCGTTACACTTTAGACGCATAAATGAACGAAAGCATTATTTAAAGATTGTCAATGGCTAAAGCAGCTAACAACCTATAATATGTTTCCTTTCAACAGATTCACCGTTTGTTTGCCCGATATTAGTTAAGTTCTAAAGAATGAAAAATGTATCTGATAGTTAATTTATTTAGTTAAGAATAAGAATTGATAAAAGGTTATTAGACATGTGTATTTGAAATTTCGTTTAAACGGTCAAGAGTTTCTTTCTTGTTGCCCAAGATCCGTGTCTGTTAATAATTGACATCAATCGGTCTAGTGAAAACGGTGGATCCAGAAGTAGGCCTTCAAATGTCTTAACTCTTGATAGGCCTACGTAGGAAAAACCTAAGCCATGATTCTGAAGATCCAATGTCCACAACAGCTTGGTCCACAGTTATCAGGACTTTCTTGGTTTTCACGTACACATAGTACTCTCATGTGAACAAAATCATTGACTGGTAGTTGGTGTAGCGCTTCATCACTAATGGTTATGTCAAAATAGAATGGGTTATTTGCCTTCAGCCAAATAAGTGCTTGCTGTAGTTTTTCACGTCGAACTTTGAAATCGATATGGCCAAAGACGCCTTGACGTTGGACAATAATGATTTTTAAGTTTTCGGGCAGTGTAGGTAAGACAGATGCTATTTCATTAATATCTTGCTCAACATTAATGATGTTACCTTTGTAGTGAAACTGGCCATCCTGACAATTTGCTTGTACTTTGTAAATGCGCATAGCGGATGTACTCGTGCAATCAACATTTGTTCTACAATCGTCAGGTCAGTTAATTCGTTCGGGACACTTGACACATCCATATTATTTAACGCCGTGAATTTAGTTGCATTTGAACGACAACGCGAACAAATTGGTGATTGGTTTGAAGCCGTTAAGAGTCTTCCGTAGTGGAAGCCATGTTGGATTTCTTCCCCATAAGAACAATGTTAACTTTGGGTCCAAATATCTCATCAGCAAATTGTCATATAATTATGGATAAGGAGTTAAATTTAAGGAATTGCGGTCCTCTAGAGATTGACGTTTTTTATTTCACAATTTTTAATTTTTTTAATGAATAATTGATTATTAATTAGCTTAAAATTAAGCTAATTATTGAAAGGAAATTAAAATGGATTTTCGAAATTCAAAAACCTCAGTCACGAGTCTATTATGTTAAAAATACAAATTATAAATTTCAAAGCTATATCTTAACAAATAACGCCGTTACGTGTCCACAATGATGTAATGTTCTAACATTGTTCTTATGGGGAAGAAATCCAACATGGCTTCCACTACAGAAGACTCTTAAGTTGTTGGCGATAACAGTTATAGTGCAAGTGTAAAGTTTTAGTGCATCTAATTAATGTTGGAATTGATTAAATAACTGCCTATCATTATCAGCTTCTTCCGTCACTACTTTATCTGGTTCTTCTTGTTCACGACGCCACTCTCTTACAATATTTGCATTATTGGTGCGACGAGCAATATTACGACGTGGCCTTTGAGGCATGCTCAAAACAAATATAGCAAAACTGTTACTTCCATTGATAAACTGTTACATTCCAACTTTAACCTAGGATGAAAGCTAGGTGGGGCACACGGAAGATTTCTCAGGTACCCCGTTTGACGTCACTAACTGCTGACGTCACTAACTGCTGCGTCTGAAGAAACAGACAATTTTATAATTTTTCTATTATTAAATTAAACTGTCATTACCTAACAAAACGTGCCGATAATGGAAAAATCGAATAAAGGTTTACTAATCTAAAAATTAGTTTTGTTCATAAAATGAAATTATAAATGCCTAAAATTGAATTTTATAATTTTTTAATTATAAAATTAAACTGTCATAACCTAACCAAACTTGCTGATATGAAAAAATTGTTGTCAAAAAGTCAATGCTACCAGCGGGATTCGAACCCGGTACAATAGGATTATCAGCCCAACACGCTATCCACTACACCACCGAGGCCGATGGCTCATACCGTATCGTTGCGGTATTGGTGTTCCCTCAAAGTGACATCAGCAGTTAGTGACGTCAAACGGCACCTGAGAAATCTTCCGTGTGCCGTTTCGGGATGAAAGTAAACATTGAAATGTGAACAAAACAGTTGCACACAATTAACATATGTTTATCTTATTTAAATGAAACAAGATAAACCCATATGTCATAAGCCGAATATAATTATTTTTCTTTCAACTTACATTAAAATAACAAGCGAAATTTCGTGACCCGTAAAATAAAATCCAGAAGGAAATTTGCAAATATTTTTTTTTTACCAAAACATTGTGCTCACTATTCTCTAGCTGTTGGCCAAATTTCATATCAATTGGTCAAGCCATTACATTCTGATGCTCTTACAAAAAAGTTACAAAGTGAGGGAAAGTGAGCTTCGCTCGCTCCACTCGCTTTGCTCAATTATTTCAGTCCCAGAAATGTATCTCTACCCTCAGAGATGAAATATTTTGTTAACCCACTCTCGATGTAAGTCATCAACAGAAGTAATATGAAGATATAAAATTAATATAATAAAAATGTAAATTTTGCTTGTCTCTCGCCGGCCCTGGTAGGACCTCACCTCACCGAACTCCATGGCTTTCTTAACTCAGGTTAAGTCTTTAAATATTAAGTAGATCTAAGATTAAGATAGCAGGCTAAATTATCAATTTAAGGGGAAGCCAGCAGGCTTTCGCCCTATTCACAGAAATGTGAATTCAAAAAATTATGATTAGGGCCTACCTCGCTAAACGAGGTAATCCTTCCTAGACATGCAATAGTCACCACGTTGAAAACCTAAGTATTAAATCATTCAGGAATTGCCTTAGGAGTCCAAATCTTTTCAAGAAGGAGTTAGGGAACGCAACAGACCTATTTTATCATTGTCTCAATTTTACACTATTTAGCAGTTTAGTTTGGAAGGTTAGGTGTAGTTCTGTGTTCTATTTAAATTATAAGTAATCAAAGCTGGCTTGGCCTGAGTAAAGATTTCCGCCCTCTGGTCCCCCAACAACGTTTCCTATTAAATTGTCATTTTATGAGGGTAGCAGAGGATAGCACGCTCTTAGCACAGCAGTCAGGCAATTACCTACATATTTCACTCAATTGCAATAAATACATCACATCTCCAAAGAATTCATTACCCAGTTTGCACCCTCGGCTACATATGGTACAGCCAACAGGTTAAATGGTACAGCCACTGTTATAGTCGTAAATGATGGAGTTCTTGAGACCCGAAATGTTTCTAGGGTCATTGGATGTCTTCTCTTACGCAGGGCGTGTGAATTATACAACCACTGTGATAAACACATGTGCACATCACACTCATTTTTATTCTGTAACGATTAATACAATAGTATATTTTTCATCACTAGGAGCAAAAGTGTCTCTTTCGCAATCGTTTTTTACAAGTGAGGCGCAGCCGAGCTTGACGATTAAGTAACAAAAAGACACTTTCGCTTTGTGTGATAAACAACTATTTTCACCATACTGTGTGAAAAAACCTTCCTATCGTTACAAAATTAGACCACACAACTTGAGGTTATACAAAGTCGTCATACATTTACATTTCTGTCGTTTACAAACATAACTTAAAGTATCGTGTGATTAGCAGCGTTTTCATAATGTGTGTAAAATTGTAAACAACATTTATAATGTGCCATTAACAAATTTTGAGGTTAGCAAATTGAAAAATTTACCACATGTTTGTTCTGTTCATTATTTAAAGTTACCCAGAAACGATGATTTTGCAGACGATTTAGAGAACTAAAAACGGCTGATTTCCGTACAATATGATTTTTGTTTCAGTGACTCAGTGATGGTGGCTCTAAGGACGCTCTATGGCGTAGCCGCAGTTGGAGGAATGGTCACAGCGCTCACAGGCTACACACTTCACGGAATATTGCAGAAAAGGGTGCGAGACTCTCCTGTTTATAAGGAGACGATGAAAATAATCAACACTAATCCTGTTGGTTCAAGATGTCTAGGTGTTCCTGTACGAAGCGATAACGTTGATGTTACAAACAGCAACAATATTTTGTCTCAGAGATATTGCCAGTTAGAACTCCCGGTGTATGGTTCTAGATGTAAGGGAAAGATATATTTGCAAGCGGACAGGCTCACAGCTGAAGACGAGTGGAATCTGTACAAGTTAGAATTAGAAGTTCTTGATGATCTTGGTGGAAAAGTGAACATAATCAATAAAGAACCTGCATTGCAAAAGGAGACAACTTCATTTTAAGTAGTAAAGAATATGTGTATTTTGTTAAGTTTGTGCCTTATTAATATTTCAGCTTGATCCAACTATATAAATAAACGTGTGATTGAATCGATACCGATATGTATTACTGTAGGACCCTGGGCCACTCCTTATTTATGTAGGCCTACACAGATTACCAGTTTTTTGCCAGTGTGGTATTGAGCAATAATTTGGAAGTTCATAGCTGGAGCAATCATTTTAACCCCCTTTATCCGATTCCCTAGAGCCGTTTTGATGATTAATATTGGCAACACTACAGTAGTTTGATAGCTAAAGCTTCCACACAAAAATATGCATTGCCCATCTACGCTCAGATGACAAACTTATAAGTTTAATTTACACAGGCGATCCAATAGGCCTAGTCAATGGTGATATATAAGATTATGCTTAATTAAAAAGAGTGCTTATCCGACAGAAATTAGAAATTGACATCACCTCATTCTGTTGGTTACTAAATTCAAATAGGTTTCAATTCTAAACCTGGCAACCACATTTAAAAGGGAATGCGACATTATAAATATTAGTGTATCATTCACTCTTCAATGGTTTTTAATAAATACAAGCTGCTATACTCGGCTTTGCAACGGGAAGAAAGTGTGACCTAGAGAGCTATTAGTGGTGCGTGGTGCTTATGTGTGTTTTAAAATACAGCAACTCCATGATTTAGTTTGAAAATATAAACTGATTTAAAAGTGTTACCTACTTACTCTAAAAAAACCCCTACTTTTAATGTTAATAGATCCAAAAAAATATAGCAAACTGTAGAAAACGTATACAACCATTCCTTAAAACCAAACATAACCCTCCTCAATCTACATAAAACATCTTTTCCCTACAGTCACCCGACAAAGTTGGCTTCCTTGTACTGTTTATAGTACAGAAAGCTGCTAATTGCTGCATATTTATACTTTGCCGTACGGTTTATACTTTGCCGCACATCAGGATTCCAACGAAACAACACAAAACAGCGTGGTTCCATTATGCACGTAATCCGTGTACGCTTGGAAATAGGTTGGCAACACTTAAAGATAATTATACTACGAGCAGCTGATTGACTATTATAACTACGATTTAACCTGTCATTTGGTGTTTATAGTTTCGGTATTTCTGAACTTTTCTTTTAAACGTTTTTAAAACCTTCCTACGATCTTAATAAACAACAAAATACCTTTTAAGCATTTTTTTTTTAGGCGCGGAAACCACTTCAAATTACAAAAACATACGGAACTATATTCTCAAAACGCGGAGCACATTTCTTGCCAAGGAAAAATAGCGGAGTGATATGGACCGCGGGTACTACTTTCTCTAGGGCACCATTTGTGTTGCCAGCTGAACCTAAAAACGTGTTGCATAGTGTTTGAAAGACTAATTATTTATATGCTTTATAGTGACTGTAGGAAAAATATAATGTGCAACACGAGTGAAAAAGGCCTTTGCTGCACTCGAGATCATTCCACACTCGCCTGCGGCTCGTGCGTAAACATTGCTCTCGTGTGCAGCAAAGTGCCACTTTCACCACTAGTTACACAAATAACTATTTCTGTAAATAAACAAACACCAGTTCATTGTACTGACCAGCTGTTTTATTAACTAAATTAAATTGAATCATTTAAACTTTGGAAGCATGCCAGGCACAGCCATTTGGAAATCAGCCTGTGGGGCAGAGCCCTACAGAAATTTATCCATATCAATACTTTTCGGCAAATCTACACACTCTAAGCTTCATTTTGACGTGCCATATGCCTATATTTTTATTTGGTAAATGGCTTTAACCGTTTACATAAAATTTGATTGTATCACTTTATAATATAGTATAATATAATAGATATAGGATGGAGAGGACACAGCCAACTCACCTGATGAATGGTTGTAGATGAGTCAAAGAACACATAAAAACACACACATAATAATACTTGATATTTTGCCTCTTTCAGAGGCGAAATATAGTTTTTTTATACTATCCTATTTTAAACTGTTGTTTTTGTAAATGCCATCTAGGCCTACTTCTGAAGAAGCCTCTGAAAGAAGCGAAATGTCAAGTATTATTATGTGTTCTTTTGACTCGTCTGCAACCTTTCATCAGGTGAGTTAGCTGTGTCCTCTCCATCCTTTATATTTATGTTATTCGTTGTGACCCTTGGTTGGAATATATAATTGATAAAATGGAAGAATTACCTTATCTTACCACAGTTTCTAGTATGACAGCTAGTTTCGTTCCTTAGAACATCGTCAGGTCATTGTATGCAACCACATCATCAATGTATTAATACATTGTGGTACGTCAAAAGATTCTTTAAAACACTGTCAGAAGCACAATAGTAAAAACTAGTCATGTTGATCAAATTATTAAAATTGAATAAAAAGTGATAAAACTGGTTAAAACTGTAAAGGCTGGCCAAGCACTCTCTTATCACTGTCACTGACTAAATAAAACTGACTGAATCATGAGGTGTCTTCCTTCATCTTCATCTCTCCAGTGCCACCTATATTTCAGTTTGTTTTGTTCTTCTTATTTGATAATTCTTTGATTTGTAGCTTGTCGATATATTATCAAGTCAAATATTATATTTGATACATATATTGACAAGCTACAAATCAAAGAAGTATCAAATAAGAAGAACCAAACTGAAATACAGGTAGCACTTGAGAGATGAAGATGACCACCTCATGATTCAGTCAGTTTTATTTAGTCAGTGACAGTGATAAGAGAGTCTCTTATCACTGTCACTGACTAAATAAAACTGACTGAATCATAAAAAAGGAATCTCACCTGTGTTAATGTTGTTAAACAAATGTAACTCAAGTATTGTAAATGTTAACATTTTTAGAGAAATTGGCTACTATCCCTAATTTAAGTACTGGTAAACAAGTACCTTTTTAGTAGAAGAGATTAAAATCTTACTTTCATGCTTAAAAAAAATGTGTTCAGTTCATTCAAGACAAGTTTAGTTCAAGGGTTTAGAACGAAAAAATAATAATAAAATAAATAAACTAAGAGTCAGGTCTCAGTCTGGTAAATTATTTAATTTACCAAAAGGTTTTAATAAAAGTCAACCATCAATATATATACATAAAAGGTTTTTATTCTCCCAACAGATCATAAACGTAATGGTTCTGATATAACAATAAACAATAGATCCGTGAGTGATGTATACAAAATAAATTGCATTGTGCAGCAAACTTGTCTGGTATAATGGCTCTTTGAAGGCTCCAGCTAACGACAAGTGTCTGCAAAAAACATCAATCAACGGAATTACATTCTGATAAAGTAAAAGGTTGTGTCAAGAATAAGATAAAAAGCAAATTAAGCAAGGTTGAGGAAGTAGGGGATTCATTGCATTGACAACCTTTTACTTTTAGATTCCATTGCAACACTATCCAAGTTTTAAGAGCTAAAAACGTTGAATAAAGAATTGATATTGCAATATCATTATTTGATAACTCTCAAGATTATAAGTGAGTTCAAAGTTCTTATCAATCAGTCATGTGTGAGTCATATAATACGCAGTCCACTCTAATCGGAATCTTTATCAGGTGTGTGCATGGAAAATGTTTGAACAGACAATATTTCATTTGGATATTTCGAAAACATTCAGACGATTCGTGGCTCGCTAAGGCATTTAGAAATTATGATTCCTTATACTGTACCTGCTACAGAACACTTTTGATTATCCGAGCCCCAGGGTTAAACGAGGTCGTTTTAGGCCTAAATATTTTAATTTCCTATCAGAAAACAATAATAGTTACAACAACAATAATACAAACAATAATAACAATAATAGGTTTTAAAAACTGCAGGAGTCCACCTTATTTTGTTTTTATTTAATCCTGTAAAGTGCTGGCTTGGCATCCTTAAATAACACTGTATTTTAAGTTTTCCAAGACAATTGAAGAAGTGTTACACCCAATGGCGCCGACTTACGAGCGCTACTCGTACAGCCACTGCAGGCCCGGCGGCCGACTCACGAGTGGCGCTCCTGACACCGCTACACAGTGCCAATAGTTATTTTATTGTTATAATTTTATGAGCCCACTTTTCTTACTTCTTATGATGTTCAAAAATAAAATTGCTTATTGTTTTGCCTTGTTACTAATTTATTTTTGAAAATAACAAACAAGGTTGTGTTGTAATGGAAACCAGGTATCACCCAAAATCAGCTGCGTTAACGTAAAACAAAAAATTCTTTTCTATGTCATTACTGTACTTATAAAATAAACAACTTCAGGGTGGCTAGTGAAATCACATTGAAAAATTCCCTGACTTTTCCCTGACAATTCCATGATTTTTTTAAAACTTTCCCTGATCGACAAATTCAAAATTACAATTTTAATACTAACTAATTCTTCAAAAGGACTAATCTTTTTCTGGAGAATATCTTATGTTTGTTTATATGAAAAACATTCATAAAATCTATAGATACAGGCTAGCTTATATTCAAACTTTGACAGTTACCTTAGTAAAACTAAACTGATTTTGATAAGATGATACGCAGTTTATAAAAAAATTTAATTTGTACAAAAACACAAAATTTCACTAAAAAACTAAGATTTCAAGTTGCGGCACACATACTCTCACTAGATCGACCTTTCCTAACAATTATTAAAATTATTTTAAACCTTCTACAATTTTCCTTGACTTATGACAAAGTTCCCTGACTTTTCCAGATATTTAATATTCCCTGACATTTCCAGGTTTTCCAGGTCACTAGTCACCCTGAAGGGAATCAATTTAACTTTTTAATAGTAGTTTCATTTGGTGTTTGGATTAATCCTGGAATTTGTAAATCAATTTTACTTAGACTACAAATTTGGTAAAACTAATTGCCGACAGAGGGTGCTGAACATGTTTTCGTTATTAACACTGCCAATAACATGTTGAAATACATTTCCATTAAAATACCATTGATAAGTTTGTTCACTACCCTAACCTCAAAAACCAAAACACCTCCTTGTTATCCGAGATTCTCGGTAAACGAGGTAGT